ATTGATTATGCTTTAATGGATCTTTCTTTTGTTGGTCTTGATTTTGTTTATAATTTATAAATCTCTTATTAATTTTTTTTGATTTATTTATTAATAACAAATAGCAACTTGTTTTATTAATAATAATGCGCAACGATGAATGACTACTGGTTGTTATGGATATTGTTCTAAAAAAATAAAAGGTGGATTTCAGTCACCATCATTATTAAGAAATCAGAAAGTAAGCCAGGCATTAGGTGCTTGCAATGTTGCCAATTTTACTTTTATAAAATTACGTTTTTTTCGTAATCTACGTCATGAAGAATTGTTTTATTATTTTTTTGGGACTCTCGAAATACCCGTACATAACGTACTAAAGTATTAATCTGCCATTTTCCAGACACCCAATACAACGCGAGAGCAGTTTATCATCTTTTTTTTATTTTGGTGAAATTTTTGCATCACGTATTTCTAAAATTCATGATCTCAATTATTTATGGAAATTTCGGAACGCGGTTTGCGTCACTGTTTTCAGCTTTGAAAACTTTGTAAGTTACAAGGAAGACATTGTCGACTTTCTTCTTAATGTCAACAACAATAATCGTTTTCTAGTGGTAATTAAACGTAATTTTAGTAATGAAATCAGCAATTAAAACTGAAGTAAATATTTTATATAATAGATATGGTAGAATCATATTTATATTTGTGGATATTACAACGTTAAAAATGATTTATAGGTTCTGAAATGACGCCACCACCAATTTGTGAGTACATCGTGTTTGCTTTCATTTACAAAAGCGTGTGTGTACTTTCTCTACACATGTTTAAAACCCACTTTTATAAGTGACTGAATACTGCTGGTGATAAAATTTTATTTTTTGGGCTGCTTATTTTCATTTAATGTTGTTATTAAACAGGGAAGCAGGTGTTTGTTAATTTAGCAGTGTAAATTTTACACTCAAGGTTTGTAACCTCAGAAATACGTTCTATGACGGGATTTACGACATAGCATCTTTGTAAAGTTGACTTGGGAAGAGAACATTTTCTCAAAAAAAAAAAAAATTAAAAGTAAAAGATCTTGTAGCAATCAACTAAGAGAAATGAGCAGAATAATTAATATTGTTCGTTGATTTTGTTTCATAAAAAGGTAATCTTATTTATTAGTAGAGAGCAGATTCTTGAGGCAATAATGCACTTGATCCTCGCGTCGGAGCGATTAACGTTTAGAAGGTACAAAAATTAGTTAGTTTTTACTTCAAATTCTTATTTTTATTTTATTTAGTTTTGTGAAAGAAAATATTGAGAAAACAATTGGTTTATGATAATACTGTTTTCGTGTAACAGATTTACTCTTTTTAAGTTGGGATTAGTCACTTTCAGTTGATTTATTGAATTCCATGGGGAATATTTATATATTAATTCTGGTTGCAAAATCACTCTTATAAAAGGAACATTTTTCAAATGAAATGTTTCTCCAATCTTTTCTTCTCGAGCGGGAGCTACGGTTCATTAGATGATTAACTAATTTAATGTTTTCATCACGTTTTACAGTTTGTATACTACGAAAAGACAAGTAGGTGCTTAAACACTAATCGGAATTTGTTTGTTCGTGCCCACCAACAATTTGATGACATCATCTCAAAATGTTGGTGGGTAAATCTTGTTCAAATTTTATAAAGTAGTATGTTTCTATATGTTTGGTTTAGTAATCTGCCTGGATTTTCCGTAGAAATTTAGATAAAAAAAATGCAATGGACGGATGTTTTTGCCTCTCCTGTGGAGATTTTTCGATAAAATTAAAAATTCTGTTCCAAATGCTACAGTTTTCTGCATCCCTACTAAAATTTCGATGACGTCACCTTAAAATTTTGCCAAACATCTCTTATTTAAAATGCATAAATTCATAAACATACATACATGTGGGTCATAAACCACATATAGTTTTTATTTCTTTATATGCATCATTAAAAAAAGTAAGGCAAAAATGAAATAAAAGTTTACGAAATAAACTTTTATGATTTATCTAAGAAAGCGCACATTACAAAAAAAGAATCTTAGAAATGCTTTCAAGGTAAAATTTGAATAGGCAAACATTGTTGTGATTAATTTTAGAAACTAAAAGAAACTAGCTTGAATCACGACTGTGTAAATTTTATCAATGAAATTTAAAAATATCTTGGCAGACGAGCGTACAAAAGTATGAGTAAACACACGTTATGTATGTGTGAAATTTTAGTCAGTGGTATTAAGGAAAAAAGAGAAAAGTACATTGCAAGTAAGTAAAAGCCAAATGAAGAAAGACTAAATTCACCGCTAAAATTCGAAATAATTTTACTTTGTATTAAGAACATCTGCACCATTAAGGTGTCATATTTTACACCATTTTTTGTGTAAATATAGACTTAGCTCACTGTAAATTCACACGGTTATCCAGTGTAAAAATAAATTTGTAAATTTACAAAAAAAAAACGATGTGTGAATCTGTTTTAGGTACTATAAATAATGCTGCAAAACTTTCCAGCAAATTTTTAAAAGGTGTTAAAACATAGAACAGGGTATCCATTTTTATTAATACAGGTTAAACATATCCACAGGTTTATCCCATCGGTCGAGCAACAAATGTTTTTGTATGACCAAATTTTTTAACTGCTGAGCTATTTGTGCAAAAAGAAAACAAATGTAGATACGTGATTGAAGTCACTGACATTGATGAATATTATGAAGAAAATTTATACCTACTTGAAACATTGAACTACATTGTGTTTGCGTTTAGTTACGCCTGTACATGACGGTGTGCACGTGCGTAATTCTTTTTGTAATGTATTTGCCCAAACTGGACAAAGGTAGATTTTTTACATATTTAATACTGTACATGTGAACGCATGCTTCTATTTTTCACGTCACAATGTCTCTCACTCACTATTCATAAAAATTACAATTATCTTCACTCAAACACTTCATGAAACTCAGTACACATATAATTTAGCATAATTTAGCCACTTCTGCATATCATTTGATCAAGACGTTAAACGCTGTTTGATAGGTGATAATAAGTACTGAGTGAATCTATAAATTTACTTTTAGATGCAGTAAACTCAGCACCAAGAAATCAGAATCCGGAGTATTTCAGATTACTTTATGTGAAGTCATTAAAATGCAAAGCCTATCAAGATAATAATTACAAGATGAGAGAAGTGCGACCTGAATGGCTGATTAATACGCGAGCATCTCCGGGAATAATTTTAAAAGGCATAGTTACTAGTGAAAAGGACGCGTTATCAGGTAATTATAGGAAATTTCTGTGCGGATCTAAAAAATTAAAGTGCCAAAGTTTGAAATGGTCGGAATTATCGGATTAGATTAGTTAATCTCTGGGAAAATTTGCTTCATCTTCGATATCGCGCCAGTGACGGAGCTGCAAGGATCCGCGAGAATGTGAAAAATTAAACATGGGCTAGTCGTTGCGTGCTTATCAATATTTTACACCTCATTTATTATATTTTTCAGGTATTTATTAATAGAACTGTTTTTAGAATTTCATACGACAATATTTTGTATTGGGTAACTTTCAACAATTCGTTTCTTTATTGCAAACGAGTAAATTTCAACATTGCTGTCTTTATATTTAAATAAAAACAACGCGTTTGTGACGAAGATTAATCGCTTTCTAAAACTCTAAGATAAAAGAATATATCACGAATTAATGTCTAAGAAAGTATATTATTTTAGTAGTCGCTGTTTATGGATTTCTACTGTTCCTTATTCTGTCTATTCCGACAAGAGAGGCGTGGCCAGCTATAATAAATTACACAGCAAATTCAGCCGACATCCGACACAAAAAATAAATATTGTAGCCAAAAGGACGATATGGTATCAAATTTGCTGAGGTTTGCTAATTATAATTTATAATACGCAGTGACCCGAGCTACCACAGTGTCATCACATTTGTCGCGTCTGACGCGTATTCGCTTAAATTCGCAATCGTCAATTTTAGTCGAATAAACATAGTCTTGACTAGGTTTTCCAAAGGAAAATTACTATATTATTATGCAGAAATAACTTTACAGTTAGTAGATATGATTCGGTAAAAATGGTTTGTTTGCTTGACTATATTTCAGTATTAAGTTTGGATAATAAATTTTGTTGCTATACTTACACTCTAAATGTCAAATTGACAGGTAACTTTAATGTAAAAGAAAAGTACTGTCATCACAGTTTAAAGTTATAATAATTTCATAGCTAACTAAAGAACGTTTTTTTTCATTCATGTGTTACAATTCCGAAAAATATTCTGAAAATTTACATAATATACCAATAGATGCTTTCTTGTATGTTAATCTGTATTTATGTGAAACTGTTATGTAAAAGATGTATGTTAAAGGTTGTAGTTTATTTTTACAATATTCCTTAAGTTGTTTGCACAATTTTTGAAAACTCTGTAACAATTCAACTTCTTATACTTAATCAGGCGGTGTTAAAATATTACTCTTTGATATGAAAAGAAAATTGTTAGTTAAAACGTATTTTTATTATTTCCCAAACGTGTTTTCTTGCTTCAACGTTTCATGATCCCTAGAGTATGAAAAAATAGGTCTGTCATTTCTCGTCTATCATCGGTCGATTTGTATTAGATAAAAATTTCCAAAGCTACCGAAGTTCTTGTTGTCAAATTTTATATTCGGAATATTATGCAGATGGTAAAACGGTAACCACAATTTGTCTAATCCCCACCAACAATTTGATGACATCACCTCATTTTTTTGCATGGTAAAGTCACTTAAACTTTATAGAATTTGATACTGGTGGTTTATGAATTCGCGTTGAATTTTACACTAGGCATCCAGACCTCAAAATTTTGTAATAACTTTTTATACAATTGTAAGACTAACTATTTTTTCTTACACTGTGACTGGTATTTCTATTTATTACTATTTTTTCTAGAACACTGGATTTGTTTCATTGTACTTCACCCACGAGGGAAACTCTGTCAAATAATATAAAAGGAAATTATTTTTACATACCTATACCGGGTGTTTAAAAAATGGCGGATTCAGTACATTATGTGCGGGGGTTCCGGAAGTCCTAAAAAAATAATAAAAAAAATCTTTATGATGTAGATTACTAAAAAACAAAACCAAAAAAATATTTAATAAGACATTTATAGATTATAAACAAAAACAAAATCCATTGAAGCATAATCAACTAAACACTAGAAAATTCCTGTCTTGTGCATATAAGTAAGCTCGTTTATGTTTCCAAATTTTGATCATTTTTTGTAAAAGTTAGTCGTCAGTACTTGCTAAGATAAAACTGATTTTGGAAAATGACATATCCTTTAATAAAAGGGAGGGTGGTTGGGCGGGGCTAGTTGCTGCTAAAATAAGGCTGATTTTGGCAAATGACATATCCTCTAAGAAGAGAGAGGGTGGGTGGGCGGGGCTAGTAACAGCTAAAATAAGACCGATTTTGGCAAATGACATACCCTCGAAGAAAAGAGAGGGTGGGAGGGAGGGGCTAGTATCTGCGAAGATAAGACAAATTTTGGTAAATGATATATCCTTTAAGGAAAGAGAGGGTGGGTGGGCGGGCCTAGTACCTGCGAAGATAAGACCGATTTTGGCAAATGACATACCCTTTAAGAAAAGAGAGGGTGGCTATATTGCACAAAAAGAATACATTAATTGTGATAATAAAAATTATGGAGAATTCATAAACTACAAGTACAGGAGTATATTATTCCACATAATATCGATAACCTTAACTTTGCAGTATAATGAGTGGGCGTCATCAGATATTGGTGGAGATAAGTAGACAAATTTTGGTTAGCATTTGACCATCCACACATTTACGATCCTCCTAAAATATATATATAAAATTTGACTACAATCGGTCGAATAGTTTTAGAGATTATCTGGCTAATAAAAGTTGACACAGAGGACAGACAGACAGACAGACAAACGACAGATAACCAAGTTGAACAGAAGAAGTCGTCAGACCTCAATAATAATATAATAATACAATGAGAAAAAGTATTATTTGAATGAATTTATTTTTATGTTGTAAATTCAAATTTTAAAATTCTAAATTTTTATTTTTCTACCCAAAAAGGGTAATTTTTGGTAGTAATATTGGCAAGATCTCGTAGTCGTTGGATCTCATTTTTTTTTCATACCGGAAGTCAGATGTGACTTCATGTCAAAATGGTCATTTACGATTTTTCTTTTCTTTTTTTTTCGTTTGGTATTTTGTGGGAAAATTTAATCTTTTTGCCTAAAAGAAAACAAAATTCGTCAGTATTGTTTTTCGTCCAAATCCAAAAGTTATAAAGATTTTTTCTTAATAATAACACTTAAATAATAACGAAAATTACTCGTTACATCTACAGGATGCTATGGGAAGAAGAATTCAATTAAGTTTAAAATTTGTTTTAAATATATATTTTATACATCAATATATTTTTCATACGAAAATTTTTAAAATTTCTGCTATAAAATATTTGTACTGTGCTAGTTCTAAACAAATATATATAAATTTCTCAAAAATACTTCTCCAGGACTTTGCTCGTGTCCCAGCGTTCCTAATAACCTAGAAATAGATCTGTATATTAAAACAATGCTGATATTATGTCAACTGTGCCTTGCTCTCACTTTAAAATATTTGTTTAAGTCATTAGTAACAACAAAAAATAAATCCTACTTAACTGAAGCATTACAATGCAATACAAAAATCAAATGAATGCAAAAATTATCCTAACAAGTAGCTATCCTGCTTTCATCATCCTTACCGGAGTGTTGCTTTGTAAACATTATAAAATTATTAATGACCGCTTCCCCTCCGCCAGAAGTCACGACACGCCACTGAGTCGCGCGCACATCAAATTCATCTCCGATTTTTTTTTAAATATGCGTATCCTGAATGAATGAATTTCCACAAAGATAAAAAACCTCTTTAGTCACCAAAAATTCCACATCCACATTTTATTGCTACCGCCTCGTGGAAATAAATTTATTACGGTGGAAAGATAAGGTTATAGACCCCGAATCCCAATTGTTGTTTTTTTAATCGTAAGTGCAGCTATCTTATGATCAACTTAGAGAAAAGATAATTCGGAGAGTTTTGCGCAACCGCTGAGGATGGGGTAGTAGGACGGCGTGAGTGGGGAGGTAGTAAGTCGCGACCCATTGTGTTATCAGCGGCTAAGCGGTAAGCAGTGATTGTCAAACCGAAACGAAAACGCGCTTTTCGTGCTCTCGATGTGCGCCAAAGCCGAAGCCGACGCCTCCTTGGCCGCCCACCGTCGCGACGCCTCTCCTGTGCTCAGCGAGTGATCTGTGCGCGACGACCGATTTTCGCCGGTTTGACCGATTTTTGCGCGGTTCGACCGATTTCGCTCCATCCTTCTATCCTGGACCAGTGCAGTGCGCGACTGTGTGACGAAGTCCAGGACTTCAAAGTGATTCTAGGATGTGTTTGGGTGATGCTCAACGCGGCACCACTCGCCCCTGACCTACTGGATGCACCCTTATGTGTATAAGTGAGTACGCGAAACGAGCTTTCTTAAGTGACACTTACACCCTACGTGTCTCCCTCGGGCTTGCTAAATAATAAATCGCGAAGAACGGGTTTACGAGATCTTACAGTTTTTTTCAGACGGGGGTGTTGCTGAAATTGAAATCGACCCATGCTCGCTTTTCAGAAAGTGAAACATCAGATTTTAATTTTTTAACACCGGTGACTGCCGGAATCGTAACATCTCGTATTAATCACGGAATTGTGGCTTTTCACACAGATCCCGGAAGTTCGTCAACGACTAAGAAAAACTACAGAGCTAGAAATTATGGTCAAAAAGATTTTATTAGATTTTTCACAAAAAATGCCAAAGAAGTATTCTAGACATCGCTTGCTTTTCTCACTGAGTTCGGCCAGGATATTTTTTAGTATAATATCCCTTAGTAGAAAAAAATCATCGCATTCGTGGGTTTAACCTAGAACCGCTGAAATAAATCTAGAAAGTGAATTTTTTAACTTTTGTTGTGAAGCCTCGTGCAGTTCTTTTAAAATATGTTAGTTTTTTCGAGGGATTCTACGAAATAATTCATTTTAAGGTGTACAGTTTAACTTAAACGTATTATTAGATACGTACCTTTAATTTTTAATGGTTTATTAGAATGACAGAAGTTGTGTGCAAAGATCTCGGGTTTTCGAAATTCGGATATTTCGTGCGATTTTCGCCGATTGTGATTTGGTGTGCGCCATCTCCGTCTGGCTGTGCGTAGGGACATGCAATTGCGGCTTTAGCGTTTCCCGGTCTACTTTTGGTTTTATCGAGTGCGCGCAAATCGAGCGTGAAATTTTTCGTGTTGACTGATTGGAAATCCGCGGCGAATTAATAAAAATCATCAATGAAAAACTGTTGCCATAACCGATTGCCTTATCGTTGTTATTTTATTTTAGTTTTATCTTTTAATTGTCGCTGCAATATCAGACTGTTTGTTTTTAATTATTAATTTGGAGCGCGTCTCCTTCGGGTTTCAAAGTTTATCGAGGAGTGTGAGGATTTTTCTTTCGGATATATGAGTCACGGCTAGGTGATAAGTTCTTTTTGTTTTTGCGTATCTGTTAAATGGATTAACAGTTTATTGCTCGTTATCTGAATTTAAAAAATTAAATTGTTTCCATTGTTGTTATTGTTATTGCTAAAATTACTCCGAGCCGTGCCACGCACCACAGATTACGACGCGATATACGGTGCGATTGATCTTAATCAGAATTCAGGGTAGACGATTAATTTTAGATTTCGAGAGGATTTTGCAATTACAGTTTAATGACTATACCTTCATTGTTATTAAAATTTGTTGTTAGAGAGTTCGTTATCGATCATCTAGATTCTAAAATTGAAATGAAACCATACGCGTCGTAATCCTTTATCTAAACCCCGGAAACACGAAGTTAATAAAAGATGAAGTTTTCTTGTTTTTGCTTACATTTGTGTGTCGCAGTTGTTATCAGGAAGACAATTGATTACGATAAGAATTGCTAGTTTTGTGGTAAATTAAGTTCATATAAATTATGCAGCGAGCGAATGTCAAGTGTAAAATGAAATTGTTAATCTAAATCTAATCCTAAAGACGATTCTCTTTATAAGGTGACACTCTGATATGTTGATCTAATTTGTTTTTAGCATCCTTAATCGAGGCCATCTGAGTTTCAATGGAAAATTAACATTTAAAAATTAGGAACATCATTGTAGGACGTAAAATTGCTCGAAAAGTTCCATGTCGACGTAACTGTTCAAATGTTACATAATTATTTAGATAAATTATTATACAATCTACAGTTGCAACAAAAAATTAGGTACTGGACGAGGGTTGTCTGCAGTGAAAAGAAAATCAGATGTTTGTGCTAAAACTAAATTAATTTTAAGAAATTTTAATCAACGATTTGACTATACAATTATCACTCTCAAAAGTTTACGCTATGTTCATTAACGTTAAAAATCGCAAAAAACATGTTGTGTGGTGTCCAAACTCAAGCAGACGGAAGAACGAGATGACAAGAGACAGAAGTAGGTACTATAAAAAAGTCTTGCATAAAAAAACAAAATATAATTACAGACAACGCAATATTGTCTATCTAGATGACACACTCTTACTGCATTACTACAAAAGTCTATTTCACTGTAGATAAATTTCCTGTACATCCCATGCAAAACGTGATACACTAACAATCTCTTGTGGTCAGATTGAGAAAGCGTTTTAAAATATGACTCGTAAAAATTCTTCAACAGAAAGTTATTTTTTTGGCGGAAAACTGAACCTTTTCATGTGCCATTTAGGAAGGTCTTTCCTTAAAAAATATTGTTAATTCGATAAATAAATGCCTTATGGCTCAGGTGCTGTAACAGTGAAAACTGACAAAATTATGTTAACCAGATTTCTTATGGTTACTACTCAATCTTTTGTCTTGAATCTCGTATGGTTTTTGCTGTAGTTTTTAGTGTCTAAATAAACCCGTTGAAAGTCATTTGGTCAAATTCATTATTTCAAAACCCACACTATTTTTTGGATATCTTTTTACAGTATATTGAGTTTATCCATATTTTACCCAATTTTTCGATATTTCTAAAAGTGGAGTGTTTATTAGGAGCACATCTAAAAATATATGGATGAATATAACTAGTATGAAAAATGTTTGCTGAAAGTATTAACGCTGGAAATAAATAAGTGTACTAACTGGAGACGCTGTCAATAAAAATGCAATTATTCTGGAAGGTGAACACGTTAAGTGTATCTTTTCTGTTAAACCGGTTAAAAATGAGCACTCGTTTAAAAAATATTAAGCAAAATATTTTCCGACCAAAGTGTAAAAGTTCCTGTTAACTTAATAAAATGGATAAAAAATTATATTACCGGCCACAAAGTGTTTTACGACGACCATAGTAGTAACCCCTGACTCGTTAATATACGTACTTGTATCATCTTTAACGACATACGTACGATTTTCCAGTTTAATTTTATTGAGTGTTTTGAATTTAAAAGCCCGGAGAATTATTACGAGAAAATTTTGATGTGCGACACCAGAAATTTCTTCACAGTTGCAAAATTGTGTTAATTTATTATTCATTCAAAGTGAGGCGGATGTATACTAACACGATCTGCTGAATTTTTCTGAGACATTAACATTTTAAGCATCCAAAATTGACATTCAAAACCCAGAATTGCAGTGTTCAGCATTTCGGAATATTGTATTACAACCAATTTGGGTGATTTACACTGCCAATTGCTTTTTTAATTTATCATGTAAAGAAAAATATGGTGCACCAGCGCTAAATTTACACACCATAGTAGGTTTAAATTTGAATTACAAATTGGGAGAAGTTTGTTTACAATTGCATTTGATAATTGGTATAAATTTGATACCTGAAGACCGAAAGTGGAAGTAGGACACGCTATAAATTCTCATTTTTAATTGGAAATGTGGTTTTTCTTGAGTGTGACGGTGGTAATTTAAAAATTAACATTGATCGCCACAAACTGGAAAATATTGACACACGAAAACTTCAAGTGTATGTTTTAAACCACTATGACGTTCAAATAACGCATAGTTAAAAAAAGATACACTTCTAATTCTTCTAATGTTCTGCATCAATATTTAATGATTAACAATTCGCTACAATTCAATGAATCCGTTAACCTCAACACACTTAAATCAGAATTTCCATCAATGTAGATAAACAAGAGAGTGCCTAATTCACAAGTACACAACAAACAAAAGAAAGTTCAATTTAGATGTAATCATTTTTGTGTTTATTAACCTACATACTGTTTCCACCTACAGCACACAGCATAATTTTTTAAAATTAAAAGACGTTTCTGTAAACAAATAAAAGTAATTTATTGTCGTGGGAACCGCATATAAGAACCCCACGCCCACCGGAGCTGAGCCTAATGAAATTACCATAGTTTTGGTTTTTTGGGCATATTTATGTTTACAAATAGTGGCCTTTCGTGAGCAGAGCGCCACTCAGGGTGGCTTCGGCGGCGATTTTACCGCTTTATTTATTAAGGTAAATCTGACCTTGTGCAGTAGCGTAGTCGCACGGGGCAACCAGAACTTAATTCCTTCCAACAACATTAAAACAAAGACAGATATTTACGGGTGTTGAATTTTGAAAAAGTGTCAATTTAGTTTTTGTAATAGATTTGAAACTACTTCAAGGGTAGAAGTTTCTTTTCGTGGCGCCCTCTGGACCGTGCCGCCACTGCTTCGCACCCATACAACAGCCTCAGCAGTAGTAAAACGGGAGTGTGTGGATGGTGTTGTCGACCTGAGTAGCAACCGTCGCCTGGTAACGCTTGCTTTATGAAGAATGTGTCGATAAACAATCAGATTCCTACGACTTACACATGCAATTATACCCCAGTCTGAAACACATAAAACTGAAACTCTCATTGTTTCCATCGCAAAGAGAAACACCGGCCCCGACACGCATTTTATTAATAACAACTGCAATTTTTCATTGTCCAAACACGGCAGCTTCATAACAACTTAACAACCAATTAAAAGACAAAAATCGCATTGTGTTATGTTGATTCTTCCAAGGAAATCTAATATATTTTGGTCACACTTGCAATAATAATAAAACAATTAATGACCCAATCAAAATTTGATGCATGTTCCGCAAAAAAATACAGTATTGTCCAAAGAAGTTCAGCGAGGCGGCGACTTCAAAGATTCGTGTTTCCGTTGTGGTTTCCTTATTAATTTTGACGTTTACGGCAAGTATTAACTGTCACGGTAAAAATATATACTAGATTTTAGAAACTGTAACTATGTTGTCGAGGCAACTTTGTAGGTTAGGCGTGGAGACCAGGGGCAGCCATTAATCACATTTCAGGAACATTTATTTGTGAACATAAATGATTTCGCTCAAAATTAAACGAATGATCTTAATCATACGATCGACGAAAATTAACGTCTCGGCATGCAAAACAACCGCAAGCAAAGAAATTATTTTAATCTTTGAACCGTTTCTTCGCCCACCCTGAACGCCACATACGGCGTGTGAAAATTGTACCTGAAATGTTGGGTCAAAGTTTTGTATATATTTTTCCAAAAACTAAGTTAACATTTTTGTTGTTCATCGGTTCTCTCTTGGCGAGGTCCGGAGAGTGCCATGTCAATATTAATAATTGATTAAAAAAATAGCTGCCAGTTTCTCGTTTCTCTGTAAATTACCAACACTAACCAAGCGACAAATAATGATGCTTATCCGCTACAAGGACACTAAAATCGTGTGTGTTTATTAATTTTTTCGTGTTTGTATCATCTGAGACCGTTCCAAGGTGTATATTAATAAAATTTATGATGAACTCGCTAAATAAAATATGAAAGTTAAAAGCTTCATTCAACAGAGCTGCCTAAAATTTCTAGTTTTATTGTCACTTGATATATTTTATGGATTTCGAAATTTATGGTTTACATTACTTAATAATTCCGTTTATGGTGGATTTAAAACGATTGTGTTAAGTTGTATTTTTAGACGAGCGGTGGAACACCGGAAGATTAAGATACAAAAGTCCGGCAGTAATATTTATGAAATGCGGTATTTGGTGTTAAAAATGGTGAAATTTGACACCTGTGGCTGGGTTTGAAGTAGTTGGTGCTGCGGCCTTGCAATGTCAGTCGGAGTTAAATCGTGTAATTTAAATACATTTATGAAATTCTCCGGGCGTAATAAAAATAATCACTGACCTAATACCTAATCCTTTATGGCTTTAAAACATGCTATAAATTATCTCTGAAGATGTAGACCAAACACCTACAGGTAATGTCTAAAAATAATAATTATTTCAACAAAATTAAACAGTT